AAGTAATCATAATAATGTGGTTTAGTGTATTGCTGTAATTGCGATGAAAACACCTGTGTGAGCTGTGTACAATTACGAGCTTAGCGAATAATATTAAAGATTGGAATTTTGTAGCGGGACATGATATTCTGCTTGCTGACGCAGTCGTTACTTGAATAGCCCACGGCTAGGTACCGCAGCTTTATATACTGTACAAATCGAGCTAATAGTTGGTATGGAAGGTGCTAAAGGAGTTACTGGTAATTGTTTGTGCTGAAGGGGTTAAGGTTTCAGCAAAAGAAAAGCTCGCGTGACGACCAAGGGGTAATTAGTACCACCAGGGATGGCGAATATTGCATTGTTATCTATAGCAGACAGTAGCAGACAATAGATTATTGATGATCGCAGCAAGTGCTCCCTCAATGGATAACTGAATTAGACAAACACACCAAATAGATTGTTGCTTCAATATATTGTCAATATATTGAGTGGTTAGCATTTACGGTCACTCCGCGCTCTGCACTTTACGTGCGTCCCGATAGTTTGCGTTTTGGCGCAAAACGAGTAGCACTTCTAAAGTATACGGCTGAAACCTGAGACGTTGCTGCGCAACCGACGTTCGTGCAATACTCGAAAATCGCTCGTCGGGCGGGATGGAGGCGATCATGTCGTATGAGGGCTGTCGTTCATTTTAGTCGGCGCCTCTTCTGGATCCGATCGACGAAGGAAGTGCACGCATAGGCCTGCTTCTCATCCGCCGCTCTGTCTTGATCCACCATAAAGGTTGCCACGGTAGCCTTCTCCGCCCTAGTTGGACGCTTAGCTTGACCTTCAGTACTCGGGCACAGCCGACCTCGAAATTGGGGCTGTGCACAATATCAGCTCTTGATGCTACATGACAAATAATAATGGTACATTAGTATGACTATAAATGATACAAAGACAAATAAAATAGCTATTACCTAGCGCTGATCTTACTCCCTTGTTTCATTGCGCTAAGTATTTCCTCACCAGCAGGTGGACCAGGTTGAGTCGCGCGACCCGATTTTCATTCCAATCTGCTGTATGTACCTGCGTATTATTTTCAGCATTTCTGGCGGCCCACCATATCGTCCCAAGTCAACATAATAGTCTGGAAGGTCTCGATGATATCCATTGCTTTCAGCGTGCCACCCCCTTGAGCAGAGTACACGTCACCAGTGAGTGATTTTGTCGTTTGACCCACACAACACTCTTCCGCATAGTCAGAACTTTACGAAATTGCACCGTTTGGTATAGTCCAGAGATATCTGTTATCGTCCTTTACCGATGGACTCCCCTGTTGCGGTGTAAGGGAGAATAATGTCGACATGGTGGTCATTATAGTGTCTTTCTGGGCGAGGTTCACGAAGATGACCGTCGCGAGCCTAGTCACAGTGGACAAGGACCAGGAGCAGAGACACCGTTACAGTGGAGGTGGTGCAATAAGGGCACTGGACAATAAGGGCCCATCTACTGGGAATGGATACTGTACAGACCAAAGGCTTAGACCGAGATCCCTGCTCGAAACTACACATAAGAAGGAAGTGAGAAGGAAGTAGGAAGTACTAATCGAGTATTGCGGAATGTATTACAGAAGGGAGTCAGACAAGCGACGGAATGGTTCGGGCAAACTTTCCAAGAGATCAGCGTGCAGAGCGACGAGCGGCACAGTCAGACACGCCTCGGACGCCTCACGCAACAAGAAAACAACCCCAGGCAGTACTGCGCGGCCACAGAGGCGGTGTCGTCGCTACTTCATCGAACATTAGGGTAGCAACCGGAAACACGCCGATGGAGGCTCAGGACCATGATGATGTGGTCATGGTAAATGTCCAAGACGTTCATGG